GAAGCCCGCCACGAGCCATGAACGGGCAGTTCTCATCCCCAGTCAGCCCAGGTTCCGATTCTGCGTCCCGGGCCCAGCTGGCCCCTGCTGCTAGCAACTCCCAGGTTCCCAACAAGATCTGGGCCCCTCGCAGCAGGGGCAGTGTGAATTCTAGGCCTACACAGCGTACCCGACTGCCCAGTACACCCTCTCAACCAGGGACCCTCTCAGCCATGCGATCTGGGGGGTCCTCCCAGCCAGTAGCCCGGTCCTCAGCACCTGCTCGGACACCAGTATGGTACCCAGGAAACAACCCACAATTCCCTCAGGCCCCAGCATCAAGCCTGGCCAGTCGATTGGCAGCAGCAGCCACCACGTCGGTACCCACCTCCATACAGCATGTCAGTAGTTCCAACCAAGGCTCACCTAGGGCCCAGTCGCCTAGCCCACCTCCTGACCCTAACCAGGCTGACAATAAGGCCCCCAGTGAGCCAGGGGATGTGGGTTCCAAGAACAACAAGCAGGGTCAGAAGACACCGGCCTCAGAGCTGGCTGGCAGCAGCACCGCGCCTGATCCCATGTCTGCCTGTCACTCTGACTCCTCTCTGGATTATATGTCTGAGTCCACGACGGAGATCACCTGTAAGTGGCCAGGCTACAATCACCAGCTGCGCTGCCCGAGACACTGCTGGCTCTTACAACACCTGGCATATTAGGGACATGAGTGCACACCTGCCCACGGGAGCCACATGAAACGCTAGACCACTCAAGCACCATATGAGTCATGTCAGACACCCGTCCTTGAGAGCCACAAAAAACAACTACCCACCCTAGGAACAAAGTCAAATACCTGCCATGGTCCCCCACACGTAAAACCTGCCCATGGATCCCAGGTGATACGTGTGTCACGGGAGCCTCAACAAGACCACCTGAGGGTCCCGTGTGTAACATCTACCCTCCGATGCACAATAAAATCACCTGCTCAGGCCCACAGATGTGTCAGCTGAGCTGTTGGGAGGGCTGTCAGGGATTAGTATCAACGATGTGGTAAGAACCAAGGAAACTGAGTTGGGGAGGCACAGTCACCTACCTGAGTCCTGCCAAAGGGCCCAAGACATGTGAAAAATCCATGAAGAAAACCCATGCCCTTTTCCCTCCCTGAGATAGCATTCTGGTGTGTAGCCCAGACTGGCCAGAAACGTAGTCTCCCACCCTAGCCACCCAAGTTCTGAGATCATGGCTATAAGCCATCCTGCGTAGGAAAAGATAGTATTTGTGTTCACTCCAGATAGACCAGGCAGCTACAAGCCAAAGACATGCAATGGGCCAGGTCTGGCTGGGAGTGGAGTTTATTGAGATCACCCCAACCAGGGTGACCAGTCATCTCCATGTCATTGTTCATATGACCATAAACGTTTCTCGGGGTTTTCCTTTTTCTCTTTCTTTCTTTCTTTCTTTCTTTCTTTCTTTCTTTCTTTCTTTCTTTCTTTCTTTCTTTCTTTCTTTCTTTTTTTTCAAGGCAGGGTTTCCCTGTGGCTTTGGAGGCTGTCCTGGAACTAGCTCCTGTAGACCAGACTGTCTTGGGGTTTTCTAAGATTTTTAATTTTTATATATGTCTGTGTTGATCTGTTCATGAGGTCCCCGAGATGGCCAGAGGCACCGGTTGCAGGTGTGAGCCACCAACATGCATGCTGGGAACTGAACTTGGGTCCTCTGTAACAGCATCACTCCTGGTTCTTTGGACAGTTCCTTGAGGCTCCCTCCTCTGTTTTCCCTTCTTCCTCCCTCCTTCCCTCCCTTCCTTCCCTCTCTCAGTCTGGACAACACAGCCACACACAGATCAGTCACACCACCACCATCCCTATCATAGACTTGTGGCCAAGTTCATTCTCTTCCCAGAAGCAGAGGTGGAAAATTCAAATCCTATGGGTTTGCTTGGAGAGGAAGCCAATATCAAGCAAGTGATGCCACGGGAGAGGACAGCTCTTGACACACCTGACACTTGTGCCTAGGCAGGTGGAGGGCTGGACTGCGCTCATGGGATTAGTGCCCTGCAGGTAGCCTAGTCACAGACCAAGACAGTCAGTGACTGGATTTTAGTTTTCATAGTTCTGGGATGGAATCCAGGGATTCCTGAATACTGTACCACTGCTCCACTCCTGACCACACCCCAGCTTCTCACTGAGGAATTCAAGGTGGGGCTCGACCCTGGCCACGCCCCCAGCCCCACACTCTCCACCCCCTAGCCCTTCGGTTCAAATATCCAGTAGAAACAGAAGTAGGATCAACTATGAGCTCTAATTGAGGGCTGTCATTGAGTGGTTCCTAGGGGTGACTTTGTCCCTCACAGCCTTGTGTAACCCAGTTTCTCCCTTCCAAGGATCTGCTGGACATGTGTGGCCTCTAGGCACCAAACACATTTCCCAGAAAACAGAAAGCTTCGAGCAGTCAACAGTCATCTCCCTGCCTTGGTGCATTCTAATGGAGAAGGGGAAGAAAGGACCTTGGGATTTGGGGCTTCAAGCATCATTAGTTCAAGATCATACTCTCTATGGAGGGAATTTGAAAGAAGGCTACCCTGGGCTACACAAAACCTTTTTAGTAGTATTTGGGCTAGGTGTGGGATCATAGGTCTTTAATCCCAGCACTGGGGAGGCAGAGGCAGGAGGATCTCTGTGAGTCTGAGGCCAGCCTGGTCTACAGAGCAGTTCCAGGACATCCAGGGCTAGCTACATGGCAAGTTCAAACTAATCTTGTTTACATATTAAGACCTAAAAAGCTGGGCGTTGGTGGCACACACCCTTAATCCCAGCACTCTGGAGGCAGAGACAGACAAATTCTGTGAGTTTGAGGTCAGTCTGGTCTACAGAGTGAGTTCCAGGACAGGCTCCAAAGCTACAGAGAAACCCCTGTCTTGAAAAACAAAAACAAAGACCACCTATAAAGAGTTAACAAAAATAAGTTTAAGCAAATCATTGTAGAAATGAGGCCATGAAGACTTTGCCAGGGTCAACAGGAGCTGCTGTCCAAAGGTCCTGGGGCAGAGGGTAGCCTGTGCAAAGTCCTGGGTAAGGGTGGGGCCTGGCATGTTGGGGGAGCACAAGCCCTCATCTCTGGAGCTGAGTGGGTGATGGTGCCTGAGAAGAGAAGGGAAGCCTGAGGGCAGAGCAACCTGCAGTCACTTGGAGGTCATGGGGAGGACTCTGGCTTTTGCTCTGGAAAGATCCATCCAGGGTGGTCATTCACCTCCCCCAGTCCCAGGTAACTGTCCCCTTGGGCACTACAGACAGCTGGTTTGAAAATGTGATCTGACCACAAGTTTGGTCTGGGATGAGGGGTGGGGAGGGCAGGTGGGCATCCAGCTTGCTTAGAGTTGGGGATGGGGGGACTGTAAAAGGGAACTGGCAAAAACTCCTCCCCTCTAAGGTGAGTCCCACACACCCAAGTCAGCCAATGGGGAGACAGTAGAAGGGAGGGGGCCCTCCTATCCAGGCCAGAAGCACACATTTGCTCCTCACCTTGGCCTGTTAATTTAAACCACAGATGAGCCATGTATGGGTTAGGATAGGATTGGGGAACACCAGGATTGTCCTTACTACATAGTGAATTAGGGTCTAGCCTGGGCTACACGAGACTTTACTGACTCTCCATCTTGTTTTCATGAGACAGAGGGTCTCACTGAACCAGGAAGTCATGGATTTGGCTTGGCTGGCCCGTCAGCCCCAGGATCCTTTGTCCAGCTTTTTACACAGCTCCTGGGGATTTGAACTCGGGTCTTCATGCTTGAGGAACAATCATTTTACCAACTCAGCCACAGCCTTGGGCCACTCTGTCTACTTTTTATTTTGAGACAGGGTCTCCTTAAGTTTCCCAGGCAGTCCTGATGATCCCTGCCTCTACTACCTGCTGGGATCACAGGCCTGGACCAGAGAGGCCTTTTCCTATGGCTTTTATTTCCATTTACTAATGATTCTCAATGTTTTCAAAGTAAAACATCCCCCCTCTTTATTGGTTACCACAAAGAGCCAAATTTGAGATGAACAACATTTGTGGGGATGGTTACCTGTGGGTCACTGAAACCAGCAGGCTGGGCAATGCTGCAGTGTACAGGGGAAGGAACGTCTGGCCTCCTACGACCAACCACCTATGTCTCCTGCTACTTCTGGGTTATTCGCCCTGTCATGTGCACTGGGCTCAGTAGGGACCCGGCCAGAGATGACCCCGGTATCTAGTGTCACTGTCACGTTAGGCAGCCCTTACAGGTGGGTGTGAGGCCTACAAGACCTGCTGAAGTCGGCCCCCTGCGGGCCATCTCCCAGCCTGGGAATCTATGGTTCAGCCACCAGGGGGCGCTAGGACCCCACAAATTCCTCTAGACCCCAGCTACACAGTATGTGGGATTTGGGGGATTTGGGATTTGGCGCTACACCCCGTGCCATGAAAGACTACCACATAAAGCCCCATCTAACAAAAGGATCCCCGGCTTATCCCATAACAGCACTGCGCCTCCCCAGGGCTTCCTGGGTCTCCAGCATACAGTCAGTGCTCAATAAGTCTTCATCGGGAGCTAAGAGTCCACAGACAGAGCTGGGGGATGGGAAAACTGAGGCCTTTGGAAGGCTGAGGCGACTGCTCTGCCGTGGAGGGTGCAGCTGCAGTCACAGGCCAGAGGTTCTCTTGTGGAGAAGCAAGGACAAGGTTGAGAGTCCGCTAGCCTCTGGATCCCAGATCCGGAAGGTCACTGTGGACAGGTTAGACCATATGACAGAGGGACAGCCTTAAGGAACACCCCCCTGGGGTGTTGTTTAGAACACACTTCAGGACAGACACCCATGGTGTTCAGAAGATGAAATGAACTCATAGCCTGGACAGATGTCTCCTCCTGTGTGTCCCAAACTCTCACACTTCATGTGCTGGTCCGGCCATGGGTCCAGTGCCCTGGGGGGCGGGGTCAGGAAAGGATGGTAATGGGTGTGTCTGAGCACAGTAGGTGTGTCCCCATGCCTGTACAGCTGATAAGTGTTGGGAAGGGCTTGTTCTTTTTCCAAGTTCTTGTAGAATTTAAATAGTAGTTTAGAAAGTGATGGGCCGAAGTCGTTTGGTGGAAAGGCAGCCAGGATATTGAAGGTCCTTAACGTTCTTAGATACAGCACACTACACATCTTAGTCCCAGCACTCGGGAGGCAGAGGCGGATGGATCTTTTGTGACTTCGAGGTCAGCCTGGTCTATGCAGCAAGTTTCAGGCCAGCCAAGGTTACATACACAGTGAGACCCTGTCTCAAAATATCCTGGCAGGAGATTTTCCTGAGTCACACGACACCAGAACAAGGGCCTGGTGAAGCTCTGGGGGTTTAGACTGGACAACGCCGGGCAGCCAGGCGAACTCGGCTGTCCTCTGCAGGACTCCAGGGCCGGGCATAACCAGCGTGGGGCAGCAGTAGCCGGTCCCGTGTACCATCAGGGCTGACCAGTCGCCTGGCAGCCAACAGGTACTCTCGATGGGGGGCCAGTGGTGGGCAGGGACAGTGGCCTGGCGCCCACACATACTCTCGAGTGCGCAGCGGTGAGCGGTTTTTGTAGATGAGAAGGACACGCACCTCATAACGCGTCTCCTGGGCCTGGCGGTGGCGGCCCAGCACGCGGGCCTGGAACACTGCACAAAGGTGACACGGGGGGGGGTCCTCAGGCGGTGGAGTCAACTGAGGTCGACGGAGAGGGAGGAGTTAAGGATCTTTGGGCTTAGTAGAAGGGGCCAAAGGTCAGGGGTCTCACCAAAGTCGCTGCCGCAGTAGTGCAGAAGGCGGTGTGCGCGACCCCGGCTGTCAGGGCATGGCCCGCAGGAGTCTACGGGGTGGGGTGTGGTGAGTGACTCGGGCCTTGCCACCTGCCCTCCCCCGCACCCCCCGCGCCGTTCCTTCCTCACCTGGTGTCTGGGATGCAGCCCGGGCAGGGATGGCCTCGGGGACCACAGGGGTCTCTGCAGGCTGAGGCTCCACCTCCCGAGGCTGGGGCTGCCGCAGAGACCAGCCCAGGGCCTGCGCCTGCGCCTGGAAGGAACCGTAGCGCTCCCGGGGCAACCAGAACTCGAAGTGCACGCCTGGGTTGGGCTCCCGCAGCAGCACCTGGAACCGAGGGCGCTCGAGCTGGTGAGCCCCCCATCCAGCCCCTGCCTCCCTCCCCATGTAACCGACCCCAGTGTTCCGCTTGTGTTCCAGGCTCCCGCCCCAAGCTGTCCACTCCCGCCACCTGCAACAACAGCTCCTGGGACGTGGGCCCGGCCGCCTGCAGGGTCTCTTCGGGGCCCGCGCCCCGGGTGTACACCACGCGGGTACCCGCGGCCTCATAGGTGCCAGGTGGGCTGAGCACCCCGTCGCCGTTGAGCACGTAGTGCCCGTCGCGGGCCACCAGCGCTGCAAGGAACCAGTCAGTCAGCCTGTGCTCGCGGGAACCGCCTGCTCCCCCCAAACCCCAGCCTCAGTTTCCCCAGACGCCCTGCGGTACCCAGGTGGTTATGGCTGCGCTGAGCCACACGAATGTGCCTGGCGCCCTCGGGGATCAGAGTCACGTTCCAGTAGCCGGCGAAGGCACCTGAGGCAGGCAGGAGGTTGGGGGTGTAGCGCGGCAGGATTTTCTGGGATGCGCTGGTGTGCGCATGGGCGCACAGTAGCGGGATGCACTGGGGTACACAGGGCCGAGATGCTCTGGGGTACGCGGGGCAGGGATGTTCTGGGGTACGCGGGGCAGACGGCGGGGACTTATGTAACTGGCGGGATGCTCTGGGGTAGGTGGGGCAGAGATGCTCTGGGGTACGCGGGGCAGAGATGCTCTGGGGTACGCGGGGCAGAGATGAGCTGGGGTACGTGGGGCAGGGATGCTCTGGGGTACGCGGGGCAGAGATGCTCTGGGGTACGCGGGGCAGAGATGAGCTGGGGTACGTGGGGCAGGGATGCTCTGGGGTACGCGGGGCAGGGATGAGCTGGGGTACGCGGGGCAGGGATGAGCTGGGGTACGCGGGGCTGGGGTGCGCAGAGAAGGGGTGTTCTGGGGCTCGCAGTGGCAAGGTGCACTTTGGGTGTGAGAGTGTGCACAGATGCGAATTAAACGAGATGCTACCTAGGAGAGGCGGGGGAAGGGTTGGACACCCCTCTCCACGACACTCCTCAACACATGCTGAGGCGGACGGGGCAGTCACCGGCGTCGCGGAACACGCGCTGCACGAACAGGCACGAGTCGTTGGCGCCACCGCAGAGGCCGCAGCGGTCCTCGAGGGC